GTATTAGTTTGTACACAGTCAAGTCATGTCACTCCAGCAGGACAGAATCATTGAAATAAAAGAAATAAAAGTATTTGTATGAATTACATTACTGCATTTGGCTGCAGCCCTCAGACAGATTTTCATTTTGGGGAAAATGTTTGGGCAGCCTTGATAAATGTATATAAACTAAAAAAAAGGCTAGACTAGTGCATCCTAAATTTAACATAAATTAATTTATTTTAATGCGACAATCATTTCTGCATTTTTGGGGGGAAGTCACCTAATTAATGTCCTTACAGAAAATGTAACTGCTCATTTTGAATCCATACTTTTACTTTTAATATTTAAGTACAAAAAATATCAAATACTTTAAGACTTTTACTCAAGTAATATTCCTAAAGAAGACTTTAACTTTTACTAAAGTAATTTTTTGGTAAGATACTTGTACTTTTACTCAAGCATCACTTTGTGGTACTTTATACAACACTGTCATCAACATCAGTGTTTAAACAGCAATAGTTAATGCACTGTGATTGGTTCARCCTAATTAATGACTGCATTATGAACTATTAGTCGTTAATAAGGATACTTTTCCTCCTGCATGAGCACGGCTGTGTGTGTTTTTGCATGATTGGCACACTCACTGATTATAAGCCTGGGTTCAGGTWGTCTCCAAACAAATGCACAACAAGTTGTTGCTCGGGACAGAAGCTGCTTTGATGCAGCAGTCCTTTATGACTGGCGGGGTTAATGATACCGTGGATCTGTCCCCAGTGGAGGTGGGGAGATAACAGGGAAAGCTCTGCTGTGCAGACAGTGAACTGCACGGCTCTCTGGTTTCTGCAGAAGCGAACTGAACCGTTTTCTCCCCTTCTTATGGGGAACTTCCCAGCGCCCCCCCCCCCCTTTTTTTTTTTTTTAAACTATCCTTCCTTTTCAGACCCCCACTTTCAGAACCCCGGAACCAGACCCTCCAATCTCTCTCTCTCTCTTTCCCCCTCCTTCCTTTTTTCTCCCTCTCAAGTGGGTGGTCCGGTGAGCTGGTCGGGGCGGGGTCCTTCTGTTTCCAACCCTCCTACCCCTCGTTCGTCTCGAAACATGCTTTAATAGAGAAAGTATGCAATGCATACTGCTCTGCTGCAACCCCCCACTATACTGCATCTGGGGTATTCGTGACTGGACGTCTGGGGGGATCACACACACATTTCCGATTAGGAGGGAGGGAGGGAGCGAGAGAAAGAGAGGGAGGGAGGGAGATACAGAGAGAGAGAGAGAGGTTACTCTTTTCATTCCAGCCAATGAGACAGTCGATACACTAAGATTTTCATAGTTGTGCAGGAGCACAAAGTGGACGGCGTGTGTGTATGTGTGTGTATGGGAGAGTGTGTGTGCGTGCGTGCGAACTTCCAGGTAAAACTGCAAAGCGACCTAAAGGTAAGTTGAGCTTCCTCCGCTCGGCTGTGCGCGTGCACGAACAGGATCAGGCTGAAACATGGAGCCTGTAGCCCCGCATACATGTTAGAGAGGCTGTGCTGCAGGAGGCAGGGAGAGGACAGCACCTGTGTTCCTGGTCTTTTGTCCTTGGGAAAACTTTGTTCCAGCTCCATGATCCCCCCCCCCCCTTCCCTTCCCCGGACCTGTTGCGTTAATCCACCTCCACCTACCTACTACCAAAAAAACACTTTTAAAAAACGGGGTTGCGCAAGTGTGATGGAAACATAGAAAAGAGAGGGAGAGAGGCTTGATGGTGCTGGATCCTCTCGTTTTGTCAACATGTTCCACTTTTCGCTCCAAAACGAAGGTGTTTAAAACTCAACGGGTTCGCTTCTCCTCGTCTTTACGTACCTCCTTTTTTCTTTTTCTTTTCTTTTTTTTTTTTTTTTACGACGCGCAAGAAGAATGTGTATTTATGGTCACTATTACCGCCCATGTGCAGAAAGTACATTCAGTCCCGTACTGGACTGCCAAACACAGGACTTGTTGAGTGGACGGAGAGCACCTCGGAGCTTGTTGTTGTTTCCCTCCACAGAGTCAAAAAGAGTTTAAAAGCTTAGCCCCTCTCTCTCTCTCTCTCTCTCTCTCTCTCTCTCTCTCTCTCTCTCTCTCTCTCTCTCTCTTTCTTAATTGTTTCGGTGAGGACGCATTTCTCAAATTACTCCCAACTTCCTGCTTCGGTGAGGCCGTTTTTGATAGGCTGTGTTGGCAATTAGTGTTTGGCACATTCCTTGCAGAGCCTGAGGAAACGACCACCTTGGGACAGGAGCCGTCAGTTTCAAGCTGATTTATAGCCTAAACACAGCAGGGAACGTCAAAGTTTCTGTTTGGTGCTTTTGTTGTTGCAACAAATCTTATATTGTTGGAAAACCCGTTTATTTACCCGTAAAAGGCACCAAAAATCAATGCGTTTGTGATTGATTATGCTTGTTGCGACCATGAAAAACTAGGCAAATCTCTGCCGAAGCTAAGCAGCTCATTGTGTTATTGACTCCTGCTGAACTTCCCAGGTGTTGTCAATCAGGGGCCTAATTGGTGCAGGATTGTTATAACCTGTAGTCAACCTCCAATCGCCACCACAGAGCAGGTTTTGTCAGCGTCTACCCAATTTGCGAGTCCAGAGAATGTCTGCAGGCCTGCATGTAGAGCCCTGAGCCTATAAACACCTGCAGGATCCGCTTGGTGTCCATTTCAGAGTGCCTAGCTAAGCCACATCAGCTGACTTTACATTTTTGGTTAAAGATAAGGATGCCGAMTTCATGAGAGGAGGTGGCCAGGCTGTTGTGGCTGTGTATGGTTCTTCCACATGCTACTGAGGCTTATTAAATGAACAAACCGATAAAATTGCACCACCACCAGACAAGAGTAAACCATTAAACAAGCTGGCATTTGGTAGATTTGGCAAGTTTTATATTGATATATCGATTTGATTACATTAAAGTAAAACAAAAACATCAATCCATATTGTCATCACATGACCCGATGTGGATGGATACCAAATGCCCATCCAACAATCATGGGCATGTACCGTGTTTATTCATGAATAATACGATCATTTTTTTAGCATAAAAATCTAACCATCAATAACCCATGTATACTACCTCCCCATACACATGCACGCACGCACGCACACACACACTTTATGGATGATTATTAGGGTTAAATTTCTTGTATCATACATGAATAAATGTGACCCATCATATCGAAATGAGGATTAAGTGAAATTTGGTCAAAATGACCTAATAACAAAAAGTCCTTTATTCCGCTTGCAATAACCACTCTGAATACTTTTAAATAATAATAGTAGTGTAATGTATTTAAAAGTTGCTTTTAACAGGCCTTTTTATGTGTTTTTATGAGTAGTTGTGTGTGTTGTATGCATGCTGTTGTTGGGGTCCTGTCGAAGAAAAATTTCTGTCACCATCTGGGACAGACAATAAAGTTATTCTATTCTATTCTATTCTATTATAATTCTTATATTTTCAGATTCTTGGCTTCAAAAGCTACATTTTGATACCTGGATCATTCTGATATCATTAGCAAATCCATATTTGACTTAATTTTCTTGTTGGCTACAATAATTCATAAATGTTTGGTCTGAATCCTAAATTTATGTAATTGAAATGAGGAATATTTGATGTCTTTATAAAGTGGAAACCTCAAATTTTATTTGAATATTGAGATTTCCCAGCTGGAAAGAAACAAAACTTTGCTAGCTCACAGGGAAAATCTCAAAATTTTAAGGCGTTTTTCCTCAAAATCAGGTTTTTGTTACTACTGCTCAAAAAAAGTGCTTCAAAATTTTGTTTTATGATTATATTTCAGACAATTCATTCAAATGATACATTTATTAGGCATTTATTCATTATATTTTGACAAAATGCATTTTTTTGTTAACATTTTAGTCAAAACACTAAATTTGCCTATTTCTCCATGTACCACTTTTAGACTTAATCCTCGTTTCGATGTGATGGCTCACAAATACAGTAATTGTGAATTGAAGTGAATCGTAATCGTATCATGACAGACTTTTTGATACAGAGAAACATCGTATCATCTTTCAAACAAACCAGTATAATTGATATCATATTGTGATAAAACTGATTTACACCCCTAGTCTCAGGTATCTGCTGCTTTGATTTCTTAAAGTTGGTATCTGCATTGTCCATACAYGACGTGTAGTCCTGATGTCTTTAGAGCAAATTTTCATGAACTAAATAATAAGACAAAAAGAGAGACCGGTTTAGGTAGATGTGCAAAGTGCTAGTTTCCACAGTTGGTGTGCATGATTTTTTTTTATCACCAAGTTTGAAATCCCTCCAGCGTGGACACACCTGCAGCATTCACATCTCCCATTGAGAAATGGTCCACAGAGGGCAGGTGGAAGGGCAGAACTAAACTCCGTAGATGTAGTTTTTGCATAGCAGRTTGAGTTGTGAATATCTGTGCTACTTTTAGTCTCAGCACTCCACTCTCATGTTTCCTCGGGTTTGCCAGACCCCTGCCCATGTTCCGATGAGCCTGGTGCCAAGGCTTATGTATGAGCAGTTCCCACGGTTGCTCTTGGAAAATGTCTGTGTGATTGTGAATATCCCTGTGATGAAACATTGAGCAGTTATTTGAGGTGCTTTGGTTGTAAAAATACATCAAAGGGCTGATTAATTCTTAAAAATTATTTTAGCAATTTTTTTTGGCTCTTTGTTGTGATCCCATCTTCACCATCATCTTTTTTTTTAAAGTCCTCGCGGCCGCTGCTCCAGGATTTGATGCCCACACACTCTTTGAAGCAGGTGGACAGACGCAGACATGAGTAGCAGTGGGACCAAAGAGCCGTCTCCTGAGTCGAGCGCTGCCCAGTCGACCGAGGAGCCTCAGCGCAGGGGCAGGGGTCGACCCCGGAAACAACAGCAGGTAGGGTCCGAGTCGGCTGCAGCCAGCTCTGAATCCAGCCTCTTGTGGTTTAGTAATTAGTTGGAACAGAAAAGACTTTAAAAATGTTTGTTAGTACTGTGACCTCTAGTGGTTTACAGTAAATCAAACAGTTTTGATTTGTGAGTTTTGACTTCAGGTTTCTTTSTAAAAGGAACCTGTCGGACCACCGACTCCAAAGCGACCGAGAGGACGACCAAAAGGCAGCAAGGACAAAGGCCCCAGAACCGCACTGAAGGTTAAACTTCATCACAACACTTCAAAGCTTATCTATATAAACGAACTGATGCTGTCAGAAGAACTGCACCAGTGTAAAGTACTATTAGTTTATGAGGCTTAACATTTTTACCATTATTAGGTACCTGATAAGTGTGGCTTCCATCATTTTAATGAACAACTTTAACTGAAATTATGATTAATGTTTGTTTTACGGCACAGCTTAATGTAGCTCAGTTTATAAGAGGTAGACTAAATAATTGGTTGGATGATTAATAAGGCAGATTATCTGTCATTTTTAGATAAATAAGTAAATTAAAAGGCAAGCAATGTTGCATGCAACTTTACATAGGGAGTGCTTTTTGGTGCAACACTAGCAGCCACCAAAATAAGTTAACCGTCACATCACCATCATAACTGTAAAGTACTGTAAAAGATGTTGAAAGGGGTTTGTTTTCAATTCACCCAGCATTTAAGGTAGTCCAGGTAAATGCCATCTTACAAGAGTGTCACTCAATTGATTAGTACTAATATGCATTTACACTAAGTGTGGTTCAGCTCTCAAGAATAACTTGATCCTTCTAGAGAACTTGCTGRATCACCAGGCTCCACATCACCCACTCCAATTTCTATTTTCATATGCTGGAGCAAAAATGTTCATTTTATGGTCTTTAAACCTGCTTSACTATTTGGAAACTAGAGTTTTTGTTTGTAGTACTTCTACATTAATGTACTGTACTGTAAGTCAGTCATCTAATTAAAGGAATTAATTAGAGTTAATTTTGCATTTAAAACACAAGAATCATTTTTAGACCTCCCTATAGTCACAGCTTTATGTACATTCAGTAAGCATCTTGCATTTATTCTAATTCATGTTTACGTCAGAGTTTCAGCCACATTTACTGTTATAATGCAAGCTGTAATCTACTATGGATCATTTTTTAATCAAATGACAGAAAATACATAAAACTTCTCTGTTACAGTTTTCTCCAAGCCAGAGCCGAGACTATAAAACTCATTTAAATGTAATTTGAAAGCAGAAATAACACTGTTCACACGCTGAAAGTCAGAACTGATAAATGGTTCAAATCTTTGGTTTGAAGATCAACCCCTGCAATATTTTCTGATGACTATTAAACAGTATAGATGCATTTTAAAGCTCTAATTAATCTAGTTAAAAATGAAGTTTGAATCTTTTTCTGATGCTTGTTGCATCAGAAGATGAATTTGCTTTTTTGTTGGCAGTTTTCCATTGAACTGTCTGTTTGTGTCCAAGGTTGCGCAGCAGATCTTGACTTCTGGAAATCAAGTAATCATCAGTAGCTCTGAGGAAACCAATACTTCCAGGCAGCTGCACTTGYTAAACTTGTTACAACATGGCGGAGTGAAGCGTTTCACAAACGAGGCCACAGTTTTAATTGAGAATCACACAAATCCCTTCTTTGGAGTTTCAAACTGTGGATTATCAAACCTAATAAATCAAAAGATATAAACAGAATAATCTGTCGTTGTGGATGCATAAGGTGTTTCTGGTGGTTTCTAATCTTTTATTGTGAGTTTTGAGTTTCTCATTTGTGCACAGATAGGCCTTTAAACCTCTGGAGCTCCTGGGAGGGATGTTTCCCATCATCCCAGCAGAAACTTAAACATGTCTCAGGGCTATAAGTCTTAGATGAAAGCTGTGCGATTGGCGCGATTGTTAACAACTTTTGTGTGTTTCTTCTCAGAAAGTAGAGCCTGTGGGGGAGAGACGACCACGAGGGCGACCGAGGAAATGGGTACGGAGCGCTCATTGACACTTCTGGATTTATTACAAACATTTACCCAAAGCCTTTTAACGTTTGTCTGCTGGAGCCGCTGTGGTTCCTGTAGGTCCTTTCCCCCCCCCACACCCTCTGTGTTTAACTGACTCCGCTGCCTTGTCTCTTCACAGCCTCGAAAAGTCGTCCCCGAAGTGACTGAAGAGCAGCAGGTGAGGAAAATGAAAAGTTGCAGTGGGGCGGTTTTGTTTTGTTTTGATGCAGCACTTTGAGACACTAATCACAGCTGTTTAGGGAGGGAAAATGATTGTGTTCAAGAGGATTTGAGGATTTTAATTTAAAAAATGGACTTAAACTCACTGCAGATCAACCAATTTCCCTTTTTGCCCTACTGTAGTTTCAACTTTTTGATCTAAATGAGTGAAATGTAGATCAAGTATCAGATTAAAAAAAAGGCGGAGGGTTTGCAAAAGTGCAACCTCTGCTTCAGTTGAACAGAAAATCTCATTCTGTGTCACTGGTTTTGCATTGTGACTGTAGTGCCAGTTACAAGTCAGCTTTAGTGCAGAGCTCCAGCTTTGATTTCATTTAACTATGATTTCAACTTTAGGTCATTTAGATTCTGTGGAGCCACAACCAGCTCTGTTGTGCTTCCAGAATCAGACACAAATCTGTAAACTTGGCAAACTTAGCAGAATTTTACACACATCGAGGTAAAATTTGGTGTGGTAGTAGCTGAAAGTCATCCTCAACACATGCTCAGATAAGATCTTTGTTTAAAACTTGTGCATTTAAAGTGCTGAGCAATATGCATTGTTTGAATTAACCATAAGTTTATAACATAAACATGAGAAGTTATAAACTAATTAACTGTAAAAGATAATTTTCTGAAACTTAAATCCGTTTTTTTTCCATAGTGGGTAATAATTTCATTTTTAGTGCCATTAGATATGTTCTTCATCTTCATTTTCACAGTACTTCATAAAGTCAAAAGGTTTTAAAACCATTCAGTTTAGTTCATAGAGCTTAGTTTTCTTTAAACAGTTTATTATGTTATTGTTTGTTAAAAAGATTTAGTATAAAGTACAGTATGTAGTAGTAGAGCCTGATGTCAAGATAAATGGATATTTTTATTAAAAGCATAGATTGTTCTAAAAGGCAGGATTTGATTAAATGTAATAAGTAACTGTCCTTATTTTAAAAGGAAGTGGACAAAATATAAGATTAACGTCTCAGTATTGAGCAATACAAGTGAAAAAGACTAGCTGCTGACAGGTTGACCACAATATGAAGCCCCTTTTTCTGTTCTTAAATTCCAAAAGATGAGTTGGAGAAATACGAAGCTGCATTTGACAAGTTTTCAGAACTTTCATTTTGTTGCACTGAAACTAAAACTGTTTCAAACGTGAACTAACTTGACTTTGTCAGAGCATCACATTCTTCCTCAACATCTTTGTCATTTCCACACTGTCGTCTCTTTTTAAGAAGACAGATAAAGCAGTTTAGAAACTTTTCTGTTACAAGAATATACATACATTTTGTTTTTTGTTTAACGTATTCAAATGATCCACTATAACTTACCATTTKGGTGTTGTGTTTCAAAAGGCCTGTCCGGACAAAATTGTAGAGAAACCTGTTTGTACAAAAAGACACAGCAAACCTTTAGTAGTTTTACTTTTTGTTTCTTTTGTGTCGGCATTAATAAAGTAGTCTGTACTATCGTTTTATGTGTCCCCAATCAGATATTTTAAAACAGCAATCCACTAAAAGGCTTTTTTGCTCAGGCCATCAGGGTGCTATACATGACTGTGTATGCAAACCATTATTTCAGCTTTTAACACGTGCAGTTGCATGTTCCTAAGATCTGTTAGTCCCTGAACCAACACTTAACAGTGCATCTTTAAAGGCAAAATAATAATTTTAATCTTGATCTGACATATGTTAGTGCTAGTCTTTTTTTTTATTCTTCTTAAGCAGGAGCACGTTTGACGTAAAGTCATGCCTGCACAGGCTTTGTGTGTATTTTGTGAACCGACTTCATGGTGATGTGGCGAATTCTTGGAAATTCACAGATAGTGGTGCTGAATTCCCCACATACAAAGATCCTCTCGCCTCTTGCGCTTTTACACAACGTACGCGCAGCATTTCTCAGAAACTTTGGATCCTTTTAGCCGCCGTGTTCTCTCTCAGCCCCTCGGAGCGTTGCTCAACTGGGCTCACCAAAGCAGGCCACTGCGCTTGATGCCCCCCTTCGTCTTGCCTTATCGCATCCTCTCGGCTTAACAGATTGTCGAAGATGGGTTAAGATGCTGAAGTAAAAAAAAAAAACCTGAAACCGTTGAGACAGACTCCCTTTTCGGAGACGTGCACATGAAGGGGAAGAATGAGTCAGTGCAGCGAGGGGAAACCTGATCTAACTGCTCTCTTCCTCTGTCTTCTTGGTTTCCTGATGCAACCGTCGTCTTCCTCACATTTCTAGGTCTGATGACTGGGACCTGCTCGCTCATTCGCAACCTCTCTTGTAAAAATGTAGACACTCATTATCGTACTTGCAGCCTCATTTTTTGTGTTGATTCATAACCCAAAGCAAGATGAGTCACTGCGAAGTCGAGATGGTTTCGTAGTCATTTTGGTCCTTSTCAATGTTTCAGGGCCCGTCAGAGGAGGCCGAGGAGGGTCCCTCGTCRTCTCAGGTGCCCGCACAGGAGAAAGGGGAGTAGATGGGATACCTCTCTACCTACCTCAGTGTTTGGCCTCAAGCAAACAGGGGTACAATCTGACTCCTATCTGTGATGGGAAATCAGTGACACACACATACACACACCCTCAAAAATCACTGCAGACTGCAGTTTCCTCTCCCGATCTGAACAGCATCATGGATTTGTTGTTGTCTGTTGTTGATTTTTTTTTTTTTTGCAAACTCTCCTTTAACGCTGGAACCTTTGATCTTATTCGTTTTTTGTTGTTTTTTTAAGGTATGGTTCCACATTTGGGGAAAAGCATTTATAGTCTTAGTTATCGTTGGGAGGTTCCTTTTTTTATACGCAGACAGGTGACAAATTTAAGGAAAACCCTGTTTTAGTGTCTGTTTGGTGTTTTAATGACAGTTCTTTAACAAGATCAAGACCTGGTGATTGTAAAGGCCATAATGTGGGAGTTGTGTCATTCATAAACCTTTAGGTGATTTTTGTGCCTTTATAAATGAAAAAGAAAAAAGTTCCTCGTGTAGATAGAGCACCCTCAACTGGTTAAAAAATGTTTTATAAAATAATAAAATAGTGCATGTTGGTTTGTTTTAACCTCTCAGCCCAAAGGCCTTAGACAAAAACTTGTGTCGAGGGGAAAAACCGCCTTTGACCGCCTTTGTACTTGCCATGTGCATTGTCCACAGCTGTCTCAGTTTATTTACTTACAGCCGAAGTGACGAAAAATAGATCAACAATGGCGACGTCCAGAGAAAGGCTGTTTGGGATCAATAAGTCTGACAGTTTTAATGTGTTGGTGCATGTCGACGCTCAGATTTGTGGAGTTAATATGCTGACAAAACTGTTTTGTTTACATTGAGTGCATACACGCATTTCAGAATTGCATTTTTTTCATACTTCTGTAAAACTACAGGAATAAATTGTTTCAAACTGCACCTTCAGATATAGTTCAGGACAAAATTTTAAGGTTTAATTTGATATAAAATTCTGTTGGATCTTAGGTTTCAGAATCTCAAGCTTGCACCGTTGACATGTACCGGATGTTTCCAGAGACCAGAAATCCCACAGTGTGAGGTTAACTTTAGGAGAGGTTTTAAAGGGTCAGTACGGACTTTTTAAAGTGGGGTTTCATGAGAGGTCATGAACAGTATATTACTTGCTGTAGAAGATATGGAGATTAATTCTGACCGAACAGTCGAGCGGAGTCGGGAAAGCCCACATTACCGCCATCTTAAAACAACTCTAATCCCAAATGTGTCATGGTGGTTCATGTGAGCTTTATCTTAGAAACCTTTAAACTGCAGTCCGTTTGGCTTTAGGCGGACAGATTTTGTGAATGTTTGCACAAAAAACTGTTGTATTTCTGGTAACGGTCCTTTAGCTTAACTGTCAGGTCATTCGTAGAGCTATCTATAACAGGTAAGATACTAACCGTTCATAAACCTTCAACAGAACTGAAAAAATTCAACAATAAAACCAGCAACCCCCATTAAAAAGTTTATGGGTTCAGGTTTTTTCTTTACATTTGTCACCACTCTGTTATTATCAACAGTTTTTTAGGGGTGAACCTCATTTTAATTATTTTTTATCTCATTGGGTTTATGTTCTAACACTCTTTTTAAAAAAAATATTTAAAAAAGATAAAAAAAACTTTCCTCCTAAAGTGGAACTAATCCTGACTTTGCCAGCTGTCCTGAAACTCTCAGTGAGCGAGTGTGTGTGTGTGTGTGTGTGTGTGTGTGTGTGTGTGTGTGTGTGTGTGTGTGTGTGTGTGTGTGTGNGTGTGTGTGTGTGTGTGTGTGTGTGTGGGTGTGTTGTAGTTGCTCGGAGAGAGGTTTGGCAGATTTGTTGGCTAAAATTTAAAAAACAAAAGAAAACCAAGGAACCAAACTGAACCGTTTTAACATGTTTCTGCATCAAGTGTTTTAAACATGACGTTTTTTTTTTATGTAACAGCATAAACATTGTATGTGAAAGTTGACATGAAAGGTTTAATGTTTCAAAAACAAAAATGAAATATCCAGTTTTAGCATGAAAAAGAACCTCATTGTGCTCTATTAGCTCCCCGTGTTGGGGCGAATATTATAGAGTTCATTTATTCATTGTTCCTTCCAAGCAGAAGCTGACTGAAGAAAAAAGTTGCCCAAAGCTTTGAGTGGATATTTCATTTTACAAAACAAAAAAAACTTCATGCATACTTGAGTCAACAGTAGTGTTGACGTGTCGTTTTTACCACACTCAGGATTTCTCTTTGAACAGTACTTTTACACCATTTAAAAAAAAGAAAAACCTCAGGTACAAACCGATTCAGGAACATATCTACTCAGTAATAATTGTGGTGCTGTGTTTGTTGTGCGATTCTGATCTGTATTTGACATTACCAGTATGCCTCGACTCAAAGACCTCATTTAAACCTCAGTCAGCCTCAATTTCTTGATCTCTCATTCTACCTCAGCGACACTTAAAAAAAAAAAGACAGAAGATATCCGCGCAAAAGTTAAAACCGTCACTCCCGCAGAAGTGATATTGTACGTTCAAACACACACAGAAATGCAAAAGCGGGTTCATCAGCAGACAGAAGACACGTTATAAAAGGTTTCAGGGCTACACACCGACAAACAAACACACAAGGAGGTGCTACACTCCAGCAGAGATGTAAAACTAAAGCATCAATATCATTTCTTTAACTGTATCTGATTATTAAAAAAAAACTGAAGTGAGACTYGATTCTCCTGAGATTTCAATGCAGCCAATAGTTTACAACATCTTGATGAAATATTTGTATTTTAAAACTTTGATCCTCATAATTTTTTTAAATCTTTTTCTTATTTTTACTACATCATGTATTTTGTTTTCCTGACTCTTACACTGTAAAATKTTATGTGTGACACTCTTTAATTCATGGCAGCAAATGGCCAGAGAAGTGCTGAAATACATGAAATCTATGGGCGCCGTTAGCCGCCGCTCGTACTTGACCAACTACAAAATACGATTGTACCGAACTGATGGTGTGTTTTTCATTGCTCATCTGTTTCATTTTGTCTTTCTTTGTTTTTGATTGATTGAATGAATTTGTTTCTGTCTTTTGAATTTTGCAGTTTTGCTTTAACGGATCATTTGATTTACCACTGAAACTTAACGTTGGCTCAGTAATGTGAAYAATACTCATTCGTGTTGCAGAACATTACTCATTATTTTCCATCAGAGCTATTTTTTTTCTTTTTAGAAAACAAATGCTTCCATGATAGAGTACTGTTTCAGGTGAAACTCATTTCACCGTCTATTAGAGATGATGTAAGTAAAAAAAAAAGAAATCTTGCTGTTTTTTACTGTAAAGCAGAAATCCTCAAAACACAAAGATATAATCAGAACATCATTTGTAGATGGGAGAAAGTGGAAAACGGTGATCTTGTTTGAAAGTTGGTTATTGCCAGCTGCCATTAAATAGTGCATCTGCCTGCATTTTTGTGTGCGCATGTGTCTGTTAGTGAAATATCTTCTGAATTAGTTGACAGATTTTCACGAAACGCTCACAAAGAAATCATTAGATGTACAYCTACAGCTGATTAAGTTTCGAAGTCAACTGGGTTCAAGATGGCCGCCACAATTTGTCAACCTTAGCAAACACAAAAATGGCTATACGTTAGTCAGCTTTACGGATGGTGAGCTAAAATTTAGTGTGGCAGTAGCTGAGAGTCAACCCCAACACATGCTTTAAGCACAGGGGTTTAAAACACTGGCATGCATGGCCTTTAAATTTAAATTGATTCTAATCTTAACTTTCTGTAACCAGAATGTTTGTTTAGTCATAAAAAAGCCAAAAACTGAAAAGACAGGTGTTCCACACATTTTGTTATTAAAGAAAATTACTTATAGATGGTTTCAGTCTTTGCACTTACTGTAGCTCAAAGCAAAACTGACCATAAATTATTTTATAAATAACATTTGTGGGCTTCTGTGATAATTAACAGAAATGTCGTGGCCTGCGTAATGTTGGGAAACTTCTCTTTACAGAAATAAAATGTAATGCTTTGTTTTCATAAAAGGRAGCCGTTGCCTCTGAAGTTACTGACCTACTGATATGGGGATATTAAAACTGTTTCTTAATTTTCTTCACTATGCTAATGGCCTATTGGATACAGATGTTGACTCGACAGAACACTTCATTGTGAAAACGAATATTTTTTTTAAACTCAAGAGTTTCAGATCCACAGTTAACCACRTTAACACCTTTACAATCTTGGCGATCGCGTCGCAGCTGTAAACGCCCTCGGGACATGCTGAAGATGCGTTTAGGTCCGATCACTGAGTGCTGTTTGTTTCTCACCACAGCTGACTGTATGTGACTTAGGCTGCACATGGTCTTGCATACCAAGTGGGGAATCACAAGTGTTCACTTGAGAAGCAGGTTGAGGCGCGTGGTACTAACATAAACTGAGGCAGAGCTGTTCACTCGGGATAAATCTGCCAACATGCGTGTAATAAAACCAGATGGAAGCAGCACACAGATGAGTTTCTCAGACTGATAAYGGAACGTAAAATCTAAGGCAGGCTGTTGTTACATATAATTAAACCACAAATATTTCCAACTGGTGGAAAATATATCTAAAGGTGACCACAGTATAAAAAAACTAGTTTTAAGAAACCTAGAAAGTGTAATGGTCTGTTTTAACAACTAATGGATATGTATAGGAATTAAATCAGTTCTTCTGATTCAAAAACAACATTTCCTCCTATCTGGGATAATATATTTCAGACATCTCAAGTGTCACATTCTCAAAGATTATATTTTTAGCTCCAAATTTTCTAATTTAGTACAAAAATTGTTAATTTTTTTTTGCGGGGGGAATCACATTTTACAAATCTAATGTCCTAATTTTAATGTCACCTTTTTGTTTTGGTTTAAAATGTTACCCTTTTAGAAATCTAGTCATAGTATTTGTAATCAACAATGACTTTATCAGCAAATACCTTTCTTTGCATTATAGAAATCTAAAATGAAACTTATTAGTAACGACTACTGTAAATATCTGAAGATGGAGTTTTTTTCTAGTGAGAAATCTATTTAAAATATCCACAGTGTTCGTTACAGARAGGGTGTTTTTACAGATTCTTGAGCTGAAAGCTCAAATACACCTAAATAAAAAGAATATTTGTTATATCTGAAATGTTGGATGTAGATAGGTGGCAGTCTTGATRGCTGAAATGTTTATTTTAACAAGAAAAATCTAAGTTGCTGATATTTGCTTTGAATATCCTGCCTATTATATGGTAAATTGGCTTGTCGCATGTTTTGCAAAAATGATGTGTAAATCTTTCTGTTTTGGATTTCTGCACTTACACTGACAACTTGAAATAGTTACTGAAAACACGTCAACGTCCAAGTTTTTTTTTTATGTTTCACAGTCTGCATGGTGACCTCTGCGTCTCTTTTAAGTTGCTCTTTACTTGAATATCGCTCATCATTTACGTTCTATTTAAGTGTCTTATTGCCTGATCTCACCAGTGTGTTGTATTTCAGTGATTTCGTGTATTTCAGCATTGTTGACTGATCTGCTGCCAGATTACAGTTTTTATTTCAATGTTGTGTTGACTTTTACCTAYTTGTCCCCAGGACTACCTCTGTAAACCACCAAGCCTGGGTCATCTCTAGGGTGGGGTGGGGGGGGGCTTTTGGTCACTTATGGTCAAAGGTGGCTTCCACCGGGGCCTCTGGGTGTTTTGGCGGGGTATCACRAAATCTTGAAATAACTGTCAAACTTGTACTGCAGTAGTCCAAACATGTCATCTCACTACATCCATGTGACCATGAGTGAACGAGTCAGCCTGAAAGGTGGCTCTCCGTTCAAACTGAGTCCGTTTTACACAAGCTGTGTTTGGATATTTACTCTCTGTTTGGGGACAGTGTTGTTCTGTGATCTTACTGCTAGTCATATAGTTACATACAGTACTTGATCTATTTTCAACTATTAAAGAAAAAAGTTGAATTGTAACTTGAGAAATTATCTTTGTATGCCTTGCTTTTTAACACAAGTCTATAGTCATGTTATTGTTGTGTCCTCCTCATCCACTTTCTTTAATACAACTCACAAAACCTGTGATATATATTTTGTTATGATTCTTTGTGTTGTGATTTGTGTTACTTTTACCTCTTTATCGCTTATCAATAAAATATCACACTTACCAGCTCTTTTTTTGTATTGTGTTTCATATGTTTTTTTTTTTAACAATTTTATTGCATTCAGATGGAAACAATACTCTTCACTGTTCAAAGGAGAAAAATGGACAGGAACACAATTTGAAGATGTGCGACATACCAGTTTGCCAGAGTTGTAAGACCACAAAAATCACTAGAACACAGATTTACAGATTAATCTTGTGAAACGTAACGTCCTGACAAGCTACCAAACTTCTGAGATGAATTTAAGAACAAAACAAATGTGCACGTTTTAATTTGTGCCCAAGTGATACAGTGCAAGATCCTTTGTGATGCTTCCTGTTGCTCCTACACTTCATTTATTCAAGCCTCTAACAGTCTGGTTTCCTGCCCCCTTTTATTATTTTTTTCCTTCCTGGGCAACAGTCTGTGTCTGATTTTAGCCGGCGACCCTCACAAGCCGAGTTCAGCCGGTGGAAGAGGGCTGTTAAGCATTGAGAGCTTTAGCTACATCTGTGAAGACCAGACGACTGGGTCGCTGCGTCGTCCCCTGGGAGGTTGTGAGGGTCTGCGGAGGACACAGATCAAACTATCAGGGAGGTTAAGCTTACACTGACTCCAGGCTTTCAGGGTTAACAAAAAGCTGTGTTGGTGTTTTATTAAATTATGGAAAAGAAACTTATAAATCAGCTTATTATCTTAGGATGAAGGGTAGGTTTAATTAAGAAAATCAAAAAATTATTAGCAGAGATGACAGGGAGTGTAAACAGCTGAAGAGATTAGTAATTTCTAAAGTTTTTTTTTTTATAAATGTTTTCTAAAGCAAGCTTTTTTTCCTCATTTCTTCATATTCTGCTTCCAATAAGCTGATTCTTACAATGTCCTAATGTGATCTTGATCTGTATTGTTCTGTTTTCTGAGGATCTTGAAAAAAGATTTTCTTTGTGTTCTTGTCTTTTTTTTTACTAATTTTCTTGCCTGAACATTTTCAAAGTAACATTGTTCTTTGTTTGTTTGTTTCTTAACTCTGATCTGTGAATCAGTTAGGCCCAAAAGGCCCCATAATTCAAGAAATAAACCAGTGTAACATAACAAAGAGGTTGTTTTAAACCTGTTTTATAGACACTTTATCAGCAACCTGTTACAAAGATGCATTTATTCCCACTTTTTTTTACTTAAATCTTTTAAATATATATATATCAAAAATGACACTATTTATATAAATAATGTTTTAGCACCAACAAGGTGTTTCCCAAATGGTTATTTTGGTCAAAAACTGACCTGCATTTGATCAACCAGGGGGTGCCCAGATCTAGTCCTTGGGGTCCACTGTCCTGTTTGTTTTAAATGTTTCTCTGCTTTGACTCTTCTGATTTGAATGAATGAGTGATTACCTCATTGAAGGCCTACTGAAGAGCAAGAAAACCACCGAAACATACAGGATTTTGGCCCTCGAGGATCAGGATTGGGCACCACTGAACTAAGGGATGCATTTTTCAGGTCGTGTGTCAGGTCTTTTCTAGTTTTTCTTTTTTTTCTTTTATGATGTGAAAAGAAAAATAATTTAGTTTTATGCCTGAAACAACTTCTTTTGGCCTCCACTTGTCTACGTTTCTCTTTTTTTAAGCACAAGTATGTGCAAATGAGTGGGAAAAAGAAGCCAGAATCCTAAGAAAATCTTTGAAAGACCTGAGACTTGGATCAAATTTAGAAAGTTAGAGAAAGTTTGGCTGTTTGGGAACTAATTTTAAAGAAATCAGCCTTGAGTTTAAACCTTTACATGTTACTTTATAATTATTTAGCTAATTAAAAATCACTTACACACCTTTATAATTAATACCTTTGGTGTTATAAGGTCGGATTTTTTTTCTTGAGTCGTGTGTGGGAAAGTACAGCATCACGTGACTCTTCAAAATATTTTCTATGGAAGTATTTTAATGAGGGATTGAGAATGGGAAACAAAATGAAATCATTGGTTTAGAGGAAAATGTGTTTAGGTAAAAAAAAACATCTGTCTTGTGTAGATGCTCTAATGCAGGTTAGTTAAATTATTGATATTCAGATACTTTTTCTGAAATAAGGAAGATGTGAAAGAGTAGAGGGAATGTGAAAAAATGAGTTTTAGGAGGAATGGTTCACACATCACACAGGTGATACTTTACCAGGTTTAGCTTTGTCAAAACTTAAAAAAAGAAATAGAAATAGAGAATTACCACAATGAAAAACTTTTAAAAGAAATGGTAGAAAATACTAACTTAGGTTTTGTGTTTATATGAAACAACTCAAAATATTAACTGTAACGCATCAAAATATTTCAGAATACATTTCACATTTATGAACTTGGCGTTTATGCTAAAGGGGAACAATATAAAAACAAAGGCTCATAGGATGAATATTGGCCAAATTTCATGCAATCACTGCAGCCTACCTTGGCGTTGGGACCTGCGAGGCTGCCTTCCCGTCCGTGATCCAGTAGTTCCTGTTCCAGCAGGTCGTCCTGTTCCTCAGCCGGGTCAAAGTTGTACATCGGCATCAGCTGGTGTCTTAACTTCTCTAACCTATATGCCAAAAAATATAGCTTAGTGAAAGGAATGAAAAACAATTCAACCAGAGTTTGTGCAAGATTTCTTTACGATGGGCTCATTTTTTTTATTCCGGTTTGGGCATTCACAGCCTTTGGACACAAGTTCTGTAACTATCCACAACTTCTTTTTTCTTTTCATATAAACTCACCGCTTTCGTTTTCGGATATACAGCATCTACAACAAAAAATAAATACATAAAATGTTGCAAATAAACTGAACTTGTTCAGATAAAATGACAGAGGGCATGCATTTTAGACACTCCTTACTATCGCCACAGCTAAGCTGATGACCACGATGATGCCAAAGGGCACCAGCAACATCCCAGCTCTTGACCCCTCCATCGTCTCGTCGGGGAACGTGGTGGCATTGAAGCTGGTCTCGTTCATTGCTATAGTGACGGACATAAATGTTCTTGATGTGCTGTTTTCTCTGGCTCCCGTGACTGTTAAGAGCAAAGGGTCCATTGTGGCGGTTGAGGTGGCGGTTGTGGGGAGAAAACTTGCAGTTGTTTGTGCCACATTCACAGCCATGGTCAGGCGTGTTCTTACTTAGGTGAAGGGTGTGTTTTTAGTCTTGGTGTGGATTTTACGACGTTGCTTAGTTTCTAGTGGGTCTCATGGTCGACGCAGGCATCCTCCCACTAGTTTGGGACCTGTGGGTYTAAACAGTAAGAAAAAAAACATTGAGAAGAGACCCAAGATGTTACATATGAAGTACAACAAAACCGAGAAAGCCATATGGTTGTTTGGGAAAAAAAAAAAACGAACATTTTCATTTTTATTCATGCCATGGCTGGTAGTGGCAGCACGGTTGTGGTTTTCGAGCAGGATGTGGGGAGCAAACGTTCAGGAGGAATCTGGTATGCAAAGTTCATAAATACAGAGGAATCGTAACTGTAACTTTCACTGTGAGGAAATGTGCTGGCAGCACTCCCAGACATCAAAATCAACTTACGCCCACACACACACACACACACACACACACAAGTTCCATAAATATCCACAGTTTCCAAGCCTGAGAACATGTGCCTCCCACCTACAGACATGCATCCCATTAGAGGATAAAGCTATTTTTTTCCCTTGAAGATTTACATGCATTTGGAGTATTTTTTTTACAGCATGCTTTCTATTTGTGTTCTACGGTGACACAGGAAGGCACAGACATACGATCCATTCCTCCCTCCTCATCCTGTCTGCTCTTAATGAGGAACATGTGCAACTGAAGCCAACCAATGAAAAACAAAGGCTGTTTTCAGTCACTGCTGTAGCTCAGTGTGCATGTTCTGCTCTGCACAAAGACAACACTCACTGCTCTGCCCTGTTAGGATCATTTTATGCTCCTCTTGTTGTGTGTTTACGAGTTTATTTTTTCCCGCCTTTTTGTAGTTGAGATGTTCTGTAGCGCACACACACACACACACATATATGCACATTCACACAGCTAGGGCTGCTAATCCTGCCAACATGAGCAGGTCTCGCTCCTGTGTCCTCTCAGATTAGAGATGCATACGTACCTTAACATACAACATGCATGCTATAAGAGGTGAAGAACAGCAGAAGCTACAGGCAGGAAGAAAGGAACTGGAAGAGGAAACATTTGCTCCAGTGCTTGTCCCTGCTCCTCTTCTGCTTCCCCCCCTTCAGCAATGCAGAGGCTGTTTACACTGACACAACATCCATTTTCTTTGAGAATGAACTCCACACACCAAAGTAACCCTAGCCCGACGGGCGTGCCCCCCACCCACCCAAGAGATTCCCCCTTCCACTTCTTCGATTGCCTGCTTGGATCCACTCCCGCTGTTTTGGCCTTTCTTGTGTTTGACACAAACAGAGGCTGCTCTTGGGATGCTGCAAGCAGAAATCAGTGCTGCAAGCTCCCTCCCTCCTCACCCTGCAATTGGTCTAATAGCTTCAAGATGATAAATGTGGTTGGCTGCCTTCGCTGCCCGTTTGGCTTTGCAGGGATGAGAATGGGATTTAATGGCTCTGCACACCAGATGCTGTCAGAGCCATGTGAATGACTGCATCCGGGTGGCAGGGCTGAGGAACTTAACCCTGTGATGTCTAATTCACAGTTAATTTTAGGTATTATTCTGGTGTGAATTCACAAAATTCCTATTCATCCTCTACGGCCTTTTCTTTTTCACCAGAGTGCTCAGTTTGTTTTAAAATTTCAGATTAAGCAGGGAAGTAATTACTTCAAATATTTTTTTACTAACTGAAACACATCTTTGTTGATGATGAGGATGAGGATGATGATGATGATTTATTTGCAGATTCATGGCCCATAATACATAAAACCCCAGACAATAAAATACAATAAAACAGACACATTACAAAACAACCCTAACATTGAGGAGACAATCATGCCAGTGTTTCCAAGAATAAAATTTTAGTCAGTATTAAGATGACTCCATTATCAGACTCGTTGAGTTGACAAATAAACATATTAAAAACTCTACAAATATATAAAAAATATATGCATAAATCGGCTACACTTTTATGTTTTTACAAAAATCAAAAAATTTTACCGTTTGTTTCACTGTTAATTCAAAGCATATGACCTTTAGATTATTAATCACTGATATGATATACATTTTTTGCAGGTTTACACAACACATTGAATACTTTTGGAAATGGAGTGGCAAGTCGTTCATTAAAAGGAAGGTGCTGTTCAAATATTTAACAAGAGTCGCTGCGTCTGAGACAAAATCTCAAGTTGCAAAAGCTCAGCTTACACATACTTGTTCTGGTTTTAAGCTCAGACAGAAAGGAGGCAGAAGATAAGCAGGAAAGTGTAAAGGAAATAGGAAACAGGAAAGGAAATGACATTGATATCCTTCAGCACTGCAGGTGAAAAAACAGAAATATGGCTGAAATGTATTAAAACCTTGAAACTCTGAAATTGTCCTTATTGCAGGAAAGTATCCTTTAAATGAGTAAACATGTACAATTTACTTTACTGGATTTTAT